TGCATGGCTATTAAAGCACAGACCAAGGCTTTTGGGGGGCAGGTCCATTGTGGTAAACCAAAAAGGTAAGCTCAGATAACCTAGACAAGCTTTTACAGCAGCTCTCACTGGTCTGGCAGAGCAGACTTTGATAGAATTGGGGGAACTATTAGGGAAACAGAATAGTTTGAGGAATGGAGGTAGTTAACTAAAGAAATGCCTTCTGATTTTTAAATTTACTCTATTCAATAGCTGCACAGCTTTTGCTGGCCATGAAGTGATATAGATATATATAGAGAGAGATAGTGTCTCTTCCTACCATCCTCCTGAGGATAGACACTCAGAGTCGGCACTTTACATGGTTTTACATACTTGAATGTTTTGATGTATATCAACTTGTCACTACTGCCCCCTATGAAGTATGCTGAAAACCAGAAATAAACTTTTGCTCTTCTGCCATGTTAGCGCCTCACCAATATGGTGGTTCTATATTCAAATCCCTTCATTGGCTGTAAATTATTATCACTCACACTGACTGTTAGCAGGGAAAGAGCATGGGTCTACCCAGCAGGAGACCTGCACCTGGTGTTGTCGTGGGTTCTTTGATAGGTGACCACGTGGGAGGACAATGGAAGGTCATCTGACTGCTCTCTTCCAGCCTTCTATAATACAGTCCATAACAAATGTAGGTAATTACTGAATTACAACACTTTTTCTAATAAAGTACAAATATTAACATTTGCAAAATTTAGCATGAGATGCAAAATCTCTCATCACAAAGGATCTTGAAGGCTCTCATAACAGGTAGCAAGTTTATAAAGCTAAGTAAATATAAACTATAGGGAAAATCTCATGGCTCTTTTTGGGGGTAGGACAGATCAGCTGTATTGGGTCACATACACACTCACAATTCAGCTCCCTCTCTTGCTGTGTACACCCAACATGCGTATCATGTAGCCTTTCTATACCTTGTTGCTTCCTTGTAAAATGAAGATGCTAACAGTGGATATGCTCACAGAAGTCCTAAATAGATCCCCCGAGAAAAAGAAGTGATGATGCTTTCGAAACTGAAGGGCACTATGAAAGTGTGCAGTGTTATAAAAACATCCAACTTGTAGTTTGACATATTTCAATCACAGTTCTTAAAGCAATTCTTAATAGATGAGTCAGAACAAGTACAACTTTTATTCACTATAGATGGAAAGGAAGTGGCTTGAGTTTTTGGAGAAAGGTCAGAAACTCATAGCTACTACTTTGTTTTCAAATCCCTGTTTCTGATATTACAGCAAGCACAGTGAGGCTTCTATTTGTGCAATTAGATAATGAGGCACTGTATTAAGCAAAAGCAAGCTACCTTGTTAAGTCACATGCACACTGATTATGGAAATCAATTACTTTCTATGCTCTTAAAATGTCATTTTAAAGGTTACTTTTGTATTTTACATTTCTGAAATTGTTTTCCACTCAAATTTTATGCATTTTATACATCAATGCCTCTGACTTTTTATGAGAAAATTGATGTTTCTTGACATGAATTTTAATGAGTTTCCCCGAGATAAGAAACTTATAAGATGCACCTCCTAATTTTCACTAAGAGTTGGAACTCTGGAGACCAAAATGCATTTATCCTGCTTTCCTCAATAAAGATAGGAAAGAAAGAAAGGGTTAGCTACAAGTCACTCCTCTTATAACTAATGCCTTCAAATGTAAGTTTAAAAGAATTCTTTTAGATTCGTTGTAATAACTTTCTTAAGTGGTTAGATTCTCAACGATTTTCTCAAATCTTTTTACAAGCTTCTGTGGCATGACTTCTATAAAGGACACCTTAATGAGAAAATGGAGTAAAAATCTGAAAGTATGAGAAATTATACTACAGTAGACAATTAATTCTATTTATCTGTCTATGGCTTAGCTTCAAATTATAAGAAAAGAAACAAACTGTAAAATAGAAGCTGAAAAGAAATACTATTTAAAATATCGTCTTCTAGTATTCTCTTCCCCACTAGTCTCTCTGCAAAAGATCAAAGAGAGGATGAGTATGGGCTTAAATCTTTAAAAACTAAAACTATTATGCCCCAGAAATGAAAAGTGGATAATGAAAAGAGATGAGGTAATATTCTGAAGTGCAATAATACTCTGATGAAGGAGAGGAGAGATGTGAGATGACTTCACTTCATTTATCATGTGATCTTGCTAAAGAGACAAATAAAAAGAAACCAACATGGGGGGGAGAGAAATTATTTCTAAAAATGAAGCTATAGCAAATAAGGTAAAGAATGATCTTTGAAATCAATCAGTCATGACTTGGACAGCACAACAACCTGAGGTCACCACGATATGCTTCAAGTCACGATGTCCAGAGAAGCATCTGTAGAGGGGGCATGCAATATACTGATAGATTACATGAGAATTACAAACTACTGGGAAATAGCCAGCTCCCTAGTCCCCTAATCACCTCATAACAGCATGTTATTTCATATCAGCAGTCTTCATGATCAAAGATTAGCATTTTTAAACACCCATATTTAAAATCATTTATTTTTACTGGTTATTAGTCTTGTTTGTAATTTGTAAAACATTTATGGATATACTATCAATAATAAAATGTATTATTTTTATTAAGCTAAATTTGGGGAGAAATTTAATTGCCTACTAACTTATCTCTGAGGGGGTAGTTTTCCACATGTATATTTTATGGATCCAATATTTTATAGCCTGTTATTTCTGAGGGGACTTAGTTTTGAAATGACACCACAGTTTGTATGGAACACATCATCCCGGTAACCCACAGCTGGCTGTTTATAACCTTGGTCACTCTGAACATCCATATAAAACTTTCATAATCATTCTCCCAAAAGTAATATGACTCATTTGCTATATACTGAATTGAGTTAAAAATTAATTCTGGATGGTTCTGAACCCATAATTTAGAAGAAATACTTACATGTATATTACTTCCCCAAAGAAGCTGTCAAGGACACACTGACCTGGCAAGTAGATTTTTTTTGATGCTTTTAAATACTTAATTAAGACCATTGAAAAAATGAAATAGTGGATGATGTTGCTTCTCTGCTGCTTGACTAAGCCTTGTTATGATTAGTGGTAGAGTAAGCCACTAATTGTCAGTGGAGTCCAAAGACTTTCCAGCAGTGCCCACTTCTCCTTCATTCATTCATTTAACCAATACACATTTCTTGAGAACTTGAGGTATAATTTTAGGATAGGAGGATGAGAAAAATCTTGGGCTATTGCGTTATCTCCTTCATTTCCCATCGATATTTTGTTCCTTAGCCCTTCTTGGTGCATTTGCTTCACTATTCTCCTAGCCAGTCTTTCTGACACCAAGTCCTGTCTTTTTCAACTTGTATAGTAAACTTATAGTAAACTCACGTGTCAAAACATATTCTTTGAGTGATAGTGCTGTGTTTTCCATATGGAGACCATTACTACTACCCATACCACCAATAATAATACTAATACCAATTAATAGAAATTATTTGAGTCATTCACTTGGTACACTTAACTCTACACATTGTTACCAAAAGAGGTAAAACACGTTTTTGTCTCATTCTTAACCACTGGCTTTTACTAACAGGCCACATGTACTTATTGGACACTGAAACACTTCAAATTCTTGAATTATAATGGGACACTGCTATACTTTTTTTCTTGCACTTTTATGCAGGAAAGAGTGCAATTAAAAAAAAAAAAATATATATATATATAT